GACAGAGCCTCCCGAGAAACATCAATTCTTAACGCCCACACAGATCTCTCCCAAATATTTGAAAGCATTCTTCCGAAGTTGTTACACTGTATATATTTTTAAAAGCAAGAATCTGGATGCAATCCTCCCCTGATAAATGTGATCCAGAAAGTAAAGTTTGTGAATGCAAGTAGACTGCAAAGGTTATCTTTTGTTGTGATTTGCTATCCTCAGTATAGATTAACTTGGACTATTTTCTTCTTTCCCCTTAAAATGACAATTGTAATTAGACCAGCTTTCTATTAAAGTTTATGTTTTTAAACTGAATCTGTCAGTGCCTATTTAAAATCCAGCCTCGGTCTTTTGTTCAGTGTCTCTAGTGTGCTATGCACGTGGCCTATACTCATTACTGACAATCATGTCTTTAGCTTTGGGTTTCTTCTCATTCAGGGGGCAAAATAAATTGATGCCATTATGCCAGACATTCACTTCTGGTTAGTGCCATTTAGAAAAATGGAAAATATAAGCAAACACTTTAACTCTATCTATTGAGACTTTTAAAATTCTCTCTATTTTCATAGTCTAAAATCTTATAATGGGAGCATTATAAAAACATTTCAAAGATATTGATACTTGACACATATGGAACTGTTGACTTCTTATTGTCTCTAACAACAACCAAAACCATGGATAACAAAGTAAATTTATCTGTCTCCTCTTTCTTGCTGTTGACATTCAGTCTATCACCTACTCCTGACCATCTGTACCTCTGAAATCTTTGACAAACATTATGCCTCTACTATTTCTGCTGAATTCAGACCTTCAACATATTACTTATCTGGTTAAAGTCTTCTCCAAATGCATACTCTGACCCAAAATTCCATGTAGTACATTAAGAAGAAAAATATTAGACTGCCTCTACCATTCTCTGACTGAAACACTTCAAGGTATACCATTGCTCTTACAAGGAATCTAAACACCTTTTAATATTTTTTAAGCCAAACAATAGAACCTTCCGTGGTTTACCTCTTCCCCTATGTCTTTAAGATCTCAGAGTCAACACAAATTATTTAGTAGTTCTTATAAAATATGCAGTATCTTAATTGTGAGACTGCTTTTTTCTTCATATCTGTATCTATATTTGTCTGCCTTTTCTTTGTGTGGTCAACTTGCTAAAGTTCCATACACACACACACACACACACACACACACACATTCAACACGACTGTGAATGCAAATGAACCTCATATAATATGTTAGACCACCTTCATCTAGCTTAGCCCAATACAAGATTTTGCATACATGTTATTTATACTGGCAATGACCTTCTGGGAAAATCTACAAGGATGAGAGGGAGTCAAGACAGGGAAATTGATAGCTGAGTAAGGGACAAGAGTTGTGTTAATTCTATGGTTGGCAATATTTTAAGTTATTCACTGTACAATTATTCTCTTGGGGCAAAAGGCAGGTCTTCTATACATCCATGTTTTTGACAGTAGGCCCTATCATAAATGGTACAAAATTTCCAGAAATGTGCTTTGTGTCAATTATACATAATTTCAAAGAGGAAACAACTGAGTTGTGAGTATTCAACAGTCACAAATAATCTAGACACAAGATTTATCAGCTCAGTAAAAGAGGAGGCAGCTTGAGTATTTCTGACAAAATTATTGATGTCTTTCTTATTTCCAACACTGACATTTAGTTTAGTTTAAACACAGAGCCATATGCATGACCATCGCACACCCTACCTCTGAGTTATATGACCTTTAAAACAGTTTTCTTCTTTTTTTTATATATGGGATCTATCTAAGTAATGCAGGTTGACCATAATCTCATTATATAGCTCCAGCTAGCCTTGATCAACTAATTCTCTTGTCCTCACCTCTTGTGTCAGTGGATTATGGGCATGTTCTGCCACACCTGACACTTACATATTCATATTAGGATGCAATATGTGTGAGTTCTATGATTAGATGTTGTTTTTTTTTTTTAGAATTCAACCTTTAAGCTTGTTACCATGGAAATATTTTGAGCTCTTACATATGTAGGAATAGTGACTTAATTAAAATACTTTTTCTAATCTCATTTAAATATATTGACATTTTCCAGTGTATATAGCTTTTGTTCATGAAAAGATACTTCAGCATGAACTCTCTGGAAAGCAATTAGTTCTGAGTCCCAATTCCATTACTATCTTCATCTACGTTCCCTCAAATTTAAGGGGGGCAGAAGAAAGAAATAAGGATATTGTTTCCTTCTTTTATTTTCCAATATAGTTCCCTAGCTTCATAAGCTCCCAAACTCCCTGGGGAATGATGTGGGGACTGGGCCGGGGGCGGGAGGGGGAATAGTGGAGGGTCAAGGGAGGAGGGGTGGAAAGGGAGCTGGGATTGACATGTGAAGCAAGCTTGTTTCTGATTTAAATAAAAACATATATTGATCAAAAAAGAAATATGTACTGCAGAGGTATATGGAAAGGGGCTGTTTTCAGGGAATCTTCCTCTTAAAGAGAGGCTTTATAGAAGGATATTTTATTCTGGAAGAAAAAATATCCCATAGTGTTCTCCACAATCACTAGATAATAATCTTTTAAAAAATAAGATGGAAATTTGAAAATTTGCCTTGTAACTTACATAATCAGAAGTATCTGTAAACATGCTTTTTTAGTGTTTTTTTTTTCAAGTAAACAGACCTTATGCATTGAAATAAGGAAAGCCTGAAGTAACTGAATGAATCAATAGTAATTTTAGTCAACAGAGTAAAATTGTATGTGATAACATATTCTTTTAGGATTTGCAAAGTCTATACTGCACAAGGTTAAAAAACACTTTGTTGTATAATCAAAATGTCCTTTAGGGAGATTCTGCTGTATGTTGCAGTGAAATGTCATCATGACCCTAATTTATTTTTCACTAATTAACAGAAAATCGGATACATGTTATGAGAAAGGTTTTCTAAAAATAATGTAAAATATTAGAAACATTGAAAGAGACAGCAATTTCTTAATTTGTTTAAATATTTATTCAAATATTTTGAATCCATCTTAATGTAATTCTGATAGTTTGTCTCAGAAGTTACCGATGTCCTGGGTATATGGATAGTGTTGGTGTGTCATCCATGTTGGAATCTGTCATTTTGTATGTGTATTAGGGAAGGGATATTAAAAGATGCTGTCCCAAGATATCAGGAAATATTCCTGTTGTCCTAAACTTAAGCAGTTGATACAAGTAGATGGATGTTTAGATATATAGCAAGTCCCAGGTCATTATTGCTACATAATAATAATTTGACTGAAAAACAACGGTCCTAAAATTTTCTTTTTTGAACTTTATTTTATGTGCATTGGTGTGAAGGTATCAGGTCCCCTGGAACTGAAGTTACAGATAGTTGTAAACTCCCATTTAGGTGCTGGAAATTGAACCCAGGTCTTCTGGAAGAATAACCAGTGCTCTTAATCACTGAGTCATCTCTCCAGCCCATATCCTAAGTTTTTCTTTGGAAGTGGTTGCTTTGGGAAATACATAAAGCAATACCTTAGCCCTTAGTTTCTTTATTTCCACCACAGTTTCTTCTTTATACTTTCCTCAATGCTCACAAAAGTCAGAGCCATAACTGCTTACCTTTGTCTCTGATTGTGAGACAGCTACCAGAGCTCAACTCATTTAATTTTAGTTCTTTCCGTATGGCTTAACTATAACATATTCACTCGTGAAGTTATCAGTATGGGTCTAATCAGTGAATGAAACTACACTGTAATTTGCACAACATTCTTATCATAAGTGATCAAATTATAGAGAATTATCTATTGCAACAGGGGATTGTGATACTAAAGGTTTACAATAGTATCATGGAAAAATATATTATTCTGCTTGAGTTACCATTACAAAATATAATACCTGGAGTGGCTTATATAATGGTAGCTTATTTCTCCCAGTGCTGGTAGCTGGGAAGCCCAGTATCAACGTTCCAAGACATTCAGTTTTATTGATGGCTCTCTTTATCAGTGGCTACATTCCTTCATGCTGTGTACTTACACAATGATCTCTTTGTGAGACCCAATTGAAGAAAAAAACAAGCTTTCATGTCTCTATATCTAAGGGCACTAATCCTATCAGAAGGAGCCACAGCCTTCTGACCTCACCTAATTCCAAGTACCCCTACCTGGTCCCCTCTCCAATCACCAGCATAAGATGTTGTTAATGCTTTGATGTATGAAGGGGAGGGGTCTGCACAAATATTCAATTCACAGCAAAAGAGAATCTCAAGTAGTAAAAGATTGGTTGTCATTGTCCAAATCAACAAAGTTGAATTTCTAAGCAATGGATCCCATTATTTGTCTATGCCCAGAGCAGAGATGCAAGAATATTGGGAATGTATTGCCTTGCTTAACTGAATTCTAGAAGTCACAGAGTTTATGCGTTAGTAGAACTTGATGGTAGTACAACTGCCCCTAAGGTTGGCAAAAAGTACTCTTTCTAAAGTTCTCAGGGGAAATATTCATTAACAGATGCCCCACCTGAAGAATTGCTAAAACATTTACCAAGCTGCTGGGTATCATTCCTTTTAGGAGTCAGGTGCTGGGGGAGCCACGTATGCTGCAAAAACCTGCCATATAGGCATGCTAGAACAGCAACGTCTCTTCAGCCCCCTCTACTGACAATGCTTCAATGTTGCAGAACAAAGGAAAAATATTTTAAAGGCCCAGAATTATTTTTACAGAGCAGGCTAAATAGTATATGTATAACTGAGTCACAATGAATAAATAATGAGATTAGTGCTACAAATTATAACTAAACATTGGAAGGGGCAAGTAAACATTGCATTGTTTGCCAGCAGAGTAAACGATTTTTGAGGACATTTCTCAGTGGTAGTCATCAATATGTTTTCTCTGTGTCTAGAATAAATCTGACTCAATACATATGCTCTGTAAATATTTAAGTGAATGAATGAAAAAAGTGTGCTGCGAATTCCTTTCTCTAATGGTTTTTTCTTCTCTCCTTCTCTCTTTATTACTACAGCTGATGGATGCACAGATTGGTCTGTTGATATCAAGAAATACCAAGTTTTGGTGGGAGAGCCTGTTAGAATCAAGTGTGCACTCTTTTACGGTTATATCAGAACAAACTACTCCCTTGCCCAAAGTGCTGGTCTCAGCTTAATGTGGTATAAAAGCTCTGGCCCAGGAGATTTTGAAGAACCCATCGCCTTTGATGGAAGCAGAATGAGCAAAGAAGAAGACTCTATTTGGTTCAGACCAACGTTACTACAGGACAGTGGGCTTTATGCCTGTGTCATCAGGTACCTTTTAATGAAGTTATTATTGACTTAATGAAACTACATAGTGTTTTCTAATACTTAAAGCTTCCTGCTGTCACTTTCAACTGTACATATTGTCTCAATATTTGCATGTGTTGCCATGTACTAAAATTTAGAATCTAAATCATAAAATGATGGGATTGGAATTTATATTGAGACATTATTTCAAGCTTATGGAGAAAAGAGATACCATCTGGGTATCTACTTCTGTTGCCAGAATTTACTAAAGACTATGAAATAAAATTTATTGGGGAGTTAAAATGTTACAAATAAAAAGTAAGCAAACTCTTACAGAAAAGATGCATAGTTTATTGCTAAACAGGCTGTAATGTTTTGTTACTGCCCTTCACAGACAGACAGAGCAGAAATACCTTTGACTTATGCACATCTGCAAAGATGATTTAGGCAATAGTGGGGAAAAAAGGTAATATTACCATATTAGGGAATAGAAAGCTTCTGTTATATAACCTTTTGTTAATGACAATTAACAGTCAATTAAAAAAATCCAGTGTCTATCTGGGAAAGGATAAAAGTTAGTAACAAGTGTTTGTTATTATCCTTAAAGAGATTAATTAATTGCATATTCAGATATGTTTTTATTCTGGAACAAAATATATGAAGTTTTCATAATAATAATGCATCAAAACAGTATCCATTTAACACATTAACAGTTAAAATAAATCTCAGTTTAAGCATATTTAGCCCTTCATGGACTAAATCACACCCTCCATGAATGAGAGTGGATGTCATTACAAATCTGCCTATGAGGAAAGAAAGTGCGTTTAAATATAATTATTGGTCTTTTTGAATTTCAGTGTTTTGCTATATAATGAAAATTTAAAAGTAGTTGTCTATGATCTTTCAAAAAGCCTCAAAATTACCTAATTTTTCCTCTAATTAAAATTCAGTTTCTACTTCTGAAATTCTGATTAGCACTAATCACTCTTGTTCTTAACAATTATCTCTCCACTGTCCTGGGACTTATGCTGGACCATGAACACAGTCATGTTAGGGGGATAAAATACCTGAAAATCACAGAAGAGTTAGACAGAAAAGAATCTTTCAAAGCACAAAAACCTGTATTAGAATTTAAAGAAATATAGGTGAGTGAATGTTGTAATTGAGAAAGGCATCTAACACCTTTCTGGAAGAAGAAATGCACTTTTGGAAAATGCTTGTTCTTGTAGGTTCTAATGAACCTTTTACAATCAAGCATTACTGTTAACAGGAAAAGAGGTTATCTGTGAGTATTGTTAAATGGTTGTCATATTAACATATGTACGGAGTACTGTTTAGACCACCTGCTCATGTTGGACCATCATTTAATTTCATATTTTCTATCTGTCATGTAAAACAGGTGACTATATAAAACACATAAATTGAGGGTCATCCTTCATCTAAATTTAGTCATGTTGAATTGTATTCAAATACTCATTTTCATCATTTGTTTTTGATGGTAAAATGATGTATCACATTAGTAATAGGAATTTCAAAAGCAAAAGCACTGACCTGTAATTCTATTATATGTTTAAATATAACCTCTGATCCAGTCCTTTGAGAAATTTCAATAAAATGACCCCAGGATTTAGACTTGCAAGGATGAATGAAAAGTTGACAATTTTCCAAAATGATGGCATTTGCCATCTGTTCATGTGTCTACATTTTAATAGAAGGTGAAACCGAAAGGCAAAAGGCTTAAAGTTTAATGCATGTCAAGCAGCATTCCAGAAGAAGTGACAAAGTGAGGAAATAGTAATTCTCGTCACTGAAATTCAAGCGTGCAATTGACTTGCAGCTCATGATGGCATGGCTTCCTTTTCCAATTTGGAAAAAGATACTCAAAATCTATATAAAAGCATTTAAAACAGCATGGCTTGTTGTTGATGGTTATGAGCCTAGGGGCTGTTAGTTGAGTCTCTGATATTTTGACACTTTGTTAGCTATCAGGCAAGTCACAAACAGTCTCAATTAGTTTCTGAATAATTCACTAGCAAAGAAGTTTCGAAGTTTCAAAGCATTAGCTTCTAAGATAAGCTTCCAATGTTTTTATCATAAGTGTATATTATTAACTTACCAGTGACATAGTTTAACAAGCCTTATATACAGCTAATTCATATTTATACCTAAATCCGTGCAGTGAAGTAGTGTAAGTCACAGAAATATCTATGATTACTATTACTATAATGAACAAAATTTCCTTCACCTTTTGAAAGAACAACACCACATAGTTGCTTGAATCAGATAAAGTATTTTTATTAAGTTTCCCTTATTTTATTTTAATGTTTTTATAAAATGAATGAAAGACAGTAATTTTGTTTCTATCTTTACCATCTGTAGAAATAAGCATGCTTTATAATAGAATACTGATTTTCACGTATTCTTGACCTCCTAATTTTAATTCATCACTTTCATGAATTATGCATAATTAAAAGTTTCCTATATAGAGTTGGCCAGCACACATATAAGCATTCCAATGCCACAAATGGTGGCATATTGTGGATCTATGCTTTTTATTCAAAAAATCATTCTGAGTTCATTACAAAATTATAATGGGCAAGGAGAAATAATGTATGGTTATATGGTGAAGCCTTTTATAAGGTTTGCTCAATGGTGACAGCTTTCAAAACTGTGATCCAGTATCAGGAAGATAATGCCATGCAAGCAGTCAATATATAGAATAACACTACAGATGCAAGGAGCTCTCCTGTTTATTCATAGCCATGTTCTTTTTGTGTAATACTACAATCAAAATGGAAGCCATCTTATAGTATATGATTTATTGGAATTGGATTTTTCACTCAGTATAACACCTTTGAATTCCATCCAAATTTTTGCATTTCCCTTCATTCTTGAGTGGTGTTTGTTGGTTTATTCGTTCACTGAACATCATCTGGTCTATTTCTGATGTGAGGCAGGTAAAGCTATAACTTCTCCTCTTAGTGATAACACAATCCTATAGTCTCAGGACAGCAGGGATTGGGTGTTTAGTCATCACCCTGGGTTTCATAAGGAAACCCTATCTCAAGATGGCAAGTAAACTAAAACAAAACAAAAAAGTACTTGCAATTTTTAAAATTAAAAATTAGTTTTACTTTTTATGACACAAATGTGCAAGGATAAATGTAAGTGATAAGAATGCCACACTAAAATTTAAAAAGAAATCTGTCAAAAGCACTATGTTAGTTACTTTTCCATTTCTGTGAGGAGACACCATGATAAACAAAACATGTAAAAGGGAGCATTTAATTGCAGACTGGCTTACAGTTTCAGAGGTTTAGTCCATGGTCATCATGGTGGAGAGTACGGCAACAGACAAGCAGGCATGGTGCTAAAGCAGTAGCAGAGAACTTACATTTTACCTTCAAGGTGGAGAAAGAGACAGAATACCCGGGCCTAGCCTGAGATTTTGAATTCTCAAGGCCTACCCCCAGTAATACACCTCTCTCAAAAAAGTCACACCTCCTAACACTTCTTAAATAGTGCCACTCCCTGAAGACTAAGCATAAAAATGGGACCATTCTCATTTAAACCAGCACATTAGTTGACAAAGTGACTTTACCATATTCTTACTGGCAAGGTATAGGTGATAGAATTTATCACTAATTGCACTACTTTGTCATTAAAGCTGTTCTAGGAGGTTTCTTATGACATCTCATTATGATTTTAATTTTCATTTCTCTAATAGTTAATGATGGCTAACATCTTTTTGCACTAATTCACCATCTTTGTCTACTTCAGTAGAATTTCTGTTAATATATTTGTCTAATATTTTATAATTGAATTGCATCTGTCTTCCTTGCTGGGTTTTGAAAAATCTTTGCATACTTAGATTCCAGTTGCCTTATGAATATGGGATTTGCAAATACTTTCTTCCATGCCACTGTTTATCATTTTAATGTCTTTTGCAGAACAAAGTTTTTAGTTTTGATGATGCTTGTTGTGAAGTGTTCAATGCATGGATAATACTATGGTGTGAAGTCAAACTTTTGCTTCTACATGATTTTAACATTTTATTGCTGGATTTATTATATTTATAACTTTGATTCATTTCAAGCCAATGTCTATATATAAGATGTGACCTTATATTACAGTGGTTTAAATGTGTAGATATATGATAGACCTAAATTTTCAAATGAGTGAGTCCTCCTAATTCCTTTGCAAAACCATTCATTTAAAATATGCTGCAATCTTGTTAGTTGTTTAGGTATTATACAGTTTATAGTATCCATGAAAATTTTAACATATCCATGCATACAAAAATTAACCCTGTTATAATTTTATGACAATTATGTGAAAATTGTTAATTGATTCTATGAGTACAGTAGAACTTTATATTTATTTGGATCTTTTTCTTTGGTTTCTTTCATCAGCATTCTGTCATTTGAAATATGCATCGATTATAAACATCTTAGTAATTTATACCTAAGGATTTCTGTTCTTTAGAGTATTGGTAAAATGTTATAATTTTATTTAGATTTCAATATGTGTATTTTAAAATATAGAAATAACATAACCTTTATGCCATCAATTTCTAAATCATGATTTTCTCAGTCCTTGTAATGTGCTTTTTATTATACCTAACTCCTTTTTACCTTGTCTTGAGTTTCTATTTGGAAATCAAATGATTCTCATTTAGCATTTATACTACATATTAAATATCTATCAAAATATATTTAGAGAAATTCATTTACTTATTCATTCATATAACAAATACCTTTTCATAATTTTGTGATAAGTAATGTACTAATGTTAAGATACAAAGATTTTAAAACTTTTGTCCATTCAAGTAGTTTACATAAGAGAAAGTAAATCCTCAATAACTTGCTTTAGATACAATGAAGATAGTTTACAATATTACATATTTTCCCTCTTACAACTGACAATCTGGGTGTAACATGAGAAGACCACCTAAGATCCATCTGAGAAGTGGAAAAGGCTTCTCCAATGACATGGGAATGCAGTGAGTTTTTTGTTTTTTACTG